GTGCTGAACTTAAACAAGAGAGATGCTGAGTTAACTGCAGGTCATTTGGTTTCCATGGTCCTCACTGGTGTTTTACGATGTTCTAGACAGTTAACTATGGTATGAGTAATATTTATACATCAGAATTGACAATTAAGGTACCATGCATGCTGCCAGGTATCCTTTGGTTTTTATTCACTTTCAGGCTGAAAGAAAATCTTTTTCCAAAAAAAATGTGTGTAAAATCTGAACGAAATAGCAAACAAACGTGTAACTACATTTGGCATTGCAGTTTAGAGAACAGATAAAACAATCTCCTCATTAAGTTAACTGAGTTTTTAGGACTAATTTTAGTTCAGTAAAACTTCAGGTTTGATCTTCTGAAAACATAACTTTTGAACAAAGCACTAACATAAATGATCTGAAAATTTAAAAAACAATATCATTGACAATATTAAGAGAAAAAAGTATAATTTTTTTCATTTCTTTATTTAGAAATGGAGCTTGAGTTAGTCGACCAAGTTCATTTGAAATGGCATTTTGGTGTCAAACATCCATGTGAGTTGGAAAACGTGCAGGTGTATGACATAATCAAAAACATAAACTTATTGCTCATGAATTGACAAAGTTTCACTGCTGCCTAGCGACTGGGAGATGGCGCTCAGGAGCCATTAGACTTACACTACAGAATCTGTCACATAGGCAAAGTTTCAGTGTGTACTTCTACTGAAGACTATGCCTGGGACTCTCTGATTTCAATTCAATTCAATTCAATTCAATTTATTTTTGTATAGCCCAAAATCACAAATTACAAATTTGCCTCAGAGGGCTTTACAATATGTACACACTTGACATCCTCTTGTCCCAGGACCCTCACATCGGAACAGGAAAAACTCCCCCAAAAAAACCCTTTAACGGGGAGAAAAGAGGAAGAAACCTGTGGGAGAGCAATAGAGGAGGGATCCCTCTCCCAGGATGGACAGAAGTGCAATAGATGTCATGTGTAGAACAGGATAGTGAATTACAACACATTCAATGTAATTACAGCACATTCAATGTATGACAGAACCACGGCAGGAGGCAAGACCTGGTCCAGGTATAAGCCGGATACACAGGAACCTGTGAGGCGAGAAAGTGCAGAGACTCTGGTGAAGAAGCAGGTCAATAATGTGCATTAATGGTATCGGTAATATGAAATAGTAATGCGAGTAATAATAAAAGTGATATTTAGCAGTTGGAGTCAGCAGGGCCATGGTAGGAGGAAGGACCAGGGTCCAGATGAAACCATGCTCCATGGAAACCTGTGAGGAGAGAAAGCACAAGGACTCCGGGGAAGAGACAAAATCAGTACTGTGCATTAATGGTATCGGTAATAGGGTTAATAATGAAGATCGTAGTAGGTGTCAGCAGGGCCATGGATGGTTGAAGGACCAGTGTCCAGATAAAACTGCGGTCATGGGAACCTGTGAGGCGAGAAAGCACAAATACTCCTGGGAAGAAGTAAAGTTAGTAATGAGCATTAATGGGACATCAATGCATACAGACAGAGGTGAAGAAGAAGAGGAGAGAGGTGCTCAGTGTATCTTAAGGAAGTCCCCCTGTAGTTTGTCTAAGGGCTGGTCCAAGGCAAGCCAGAGCCAGCCCTAACTATAAGCACTATCAAAGAGGAAAGTCTTAAGCCTACTCTTAAATGTGGTGAGTGTGTCTGCCCCCCGGACTGAAACGGGAAGCTGGTTCCACAAAAGAGGAGCTTGATTTGGGAACAACCTCACTATAACTATCAGCCACCCCTGCTCTCTCATGTTATCAGTGACAAGAGCTTCTCGTTCTATCAGGCTCAACAACACAGAACTCCTTGCTCATCTTCAAATCCATTTCATATCAGAAAGCAGTGCAGCAGTCCGGAAAGTTGGTCCCAACGATCTCTGAGTGCTACGAGGAGGGCTGATGTCACCGGCTCTCGCCAGCCATCTGTCACGCTGGTGGTCCAGCCTCAGCTGGAAGTGGACTGGTGGTTGATCCAGACAGGCCCGGCCAAGGTGAACAGCCCGCCTGGTGGTTATTTAGTGCAGAGTCTCTCTTCACCCCTGCAGCGCCAGCAGCACTGGCTGCTATATCCCGCCACCACTGATCCTTTTGGTCTCCGAGCTTCAGTCGAGCTCCAGCAACGGCAGGTAGCCGGGCACCAGATGGCCGGGGAGACCACCACCCACACAAACACACACACACAAACACACACGCAACCTGCACATGCGTGCACAATCATTTTGACTAGGAACCAGCAGTGAGCACAGACATATGGTGTGCTTCTTGCACACACTTGTACGACTACTCACTGCATGTTTTCACACACCCACAGTACTGTTAGTACTCACCTTTTTTTGCATCCATTTAAACTCACTATAATTAGAGGTATGGCTGACGGCAGATAGCAGCCGATAACGGCAACAAGATCCCACCGTTCATCCCTACATTCATTCACACCTATTAGCCAATAAGCCAGTGAGAAACAGCACCCTACTGGCTGCAGGTTATTTAAGTCCTGTGGAAGGAACAGCCACAAAACAGGGCAGTAACACACCGCAGCAGCCATTTAATGAGCACTTCTATACTTCAAGGAGTCCTAATTTTAGCTAGGAAGTCACTTATGCATGCTGAGCTAACAGGGATGAGACTGACCACACAAAAAAGGCCAGAGACTGAATTACACTCTTTTGATTTACTGACAGTTGGCCACTATAATCAGTGGGCTCCTTTAGCTAATTACGTTGATGACGTCAACATTAAAAATCACAATCTTTGAATTATTAATTATTAGAGTCCATCTTACGAAAGAGCTATTTAGAAGCTGCTTTCATGTGTGAAAATGTCTGTTAAGTCTCATTATGGCTACGGATGAAAGGTTTTATTCATTTGAGTGTGTCATTTGGAAGTTACAATACTCAATAACCCAAAGTGATTTATTACCGACTCATCATTAAATGTTTCACCCAGCACAAAATGCTTCTCCAGTTGCTTAATGTATTTGTGCACTGATTGAATGAGCATCCACAAGCCTTCAGTATGAAATATATCAAATAACATGGTACATCGTACAAATGAAATAAATTGTATGCTGACTGCATGGTTCATGTTATTTGCTTTGACACGATGATCATGTTGCTGTCAGGTTTGTAGTGGTGGAGGAAGTAATCAGATCCTTAACTAGAGTTCAAGTAGCAATATTACATAATAAATGTACTACTACAAGTAGCGCTTCAAGTGAATTAGTCGAGTCAATTTTATTTATACAGCCCAGTATCACAAAAAATAATTGTGTCTCAGGGGGTTTTGCTAGAGTCACTGTCCTTGGAAATGTACTAAGAGTTTCAAAAGTTTAACTCATTGGGAATTGTTTCTGAATAGTGGAATAAGCGTAAAGTAGCAGAAAGGGGAAATAAGTAAGTAGGTGCTTCAAATTTGTACTTAAACCTCTTAAACACGAGCCCTATTTTTAGGCTTCTGCTCGAAAATTACATACCCATACTAAAGAGAGTGTAGATCTCTAACTACAAGGTCTATTTTAATAATTCTGATGGTATAATACAGGTAAAACTTGTGAGACACTTGTTCAGATGTGTAAATATTGTGTATATGTTACTGGTTAATAGTGAATGAAGATGGAACACAGCTCAAATTGAAAAGTTTCAGGTTCATCTGAAAAAAAAGCACTTTTATTGAAAATATTTATTTGAAATAATGCAGATACAAGCCTAAAAATACACCACAGTCATAGCACAACATGTTTGAGGTCTCCACAAACTAATTTTACTTCGATTGAGTGAAGCAGGCCAACATAATAGAGGTTTGAGTACGGAGTTTCAAGCTAAATTCTCATTTTTGGAACCAGCTGTTGCACTGGTTTTTATATATTTCTATATAATTTATATACAATATAACTATATATTTCACTTGTTGTATCACTACTAGTGTTCAATACATCCTAATACAGTAGTTTGCCATCATTTTGAGATCTCATATCTCTCCTCCATGGAATTTTCTTATCTCTGTCTGAGTCGATAGAGAACTTTTAAGGCCTGTGATTGGCGGATTTCATCATGTGACACCTTGTTCAATGCGGAAGAGACTCAGGAAAGCTCTAGGCGGGTTATTGAGTAGATTGACAGACTTTTTAGCTACTAAAAATCCCGATCCGTGTGGCACAACCCCCACGCGTAAAATGATTCGCCCAGCAGGAAAATGCTGACCATTTCATCATAGCTTCGCCCAGTACCTCCATTTTAACACAGACATGCAGTGCAGAGGACTCGTCTCAAACGGATTACAATCAATTTCCAGCGTTTTTCGTCACCAAAATCACCTCAAGGTACGATGCGTTTAAATTTTTTTGCTGGGGAGCGGTTTGTTGTTTGTTGGCTTTATGTATGTAACTTTTGAATGGTTTCACGGAGAGGAATTTGGAAGCTGTGAGTCGACTCGCGATCGCATCCTCGTGCTTTCTCATGTATCCATCCGCCATGATAATGGACAGCGTTGTGTTGGGAGATGTAAACGGAGTGCATAGGTCGCCGATTTGTGGCGAAAAAATACGTGATATTGTGGTAAATCTTCTAGTTGCTTTTATTAGTTGGTATAATTGTGTTTGGAGTGTGTAAAAAGTGACTTACTGTACATGATAGTGTTGCCCAGCTGTTGCTGTTTAATCTGGTATATAACATATGTATACATGCAAAATATTCGCTCTCGATATGTACATTTTTTCGACAATTTTTGCTACGCCACTTGAGCACAAAGCCCCCAAATAACAGTACTTAACCAAATGTAGGAAAGTTTAAATGTCGATACCTACAACTAACAGACTCAATGTAACTCAAAATGTATCAAAAATCATGATTTAAACACACATTCTACGTGATCCTATGTTTTTTTTATTGTTTTTTAAGTGAATATTCATAGAGAGCTGACACATTTGAACACTGCTAATGAAAATATCCCATTGTGCAATATGAAATAAGAATTCATTAGAAGAAGCAATGTATATCTTTATTATGTGCTATGTACATATTTTACAGTATGGTACAGCAACAATACATGGTAACGCTACACAGTCGAGATTGCACAGTTTTAGAGTTAGGCCACAGCGGTCGGGTACCGTGGTTATGAGACACAACACTGAGTGTACAGTAAGTACGGCATACATCTTTGGCTTCAGAGGGACAACAGAGCATGGACATGGACCAAGAACACAGTGAGCGCTGACGGCAACATAACGCAGAGAGGTGTGGATGATCTGTCAATGGATTAAGGATGGATTTTCAGCCCAGTATCATATGACATATTTTCTTCATGTATGGGTGGTATTATGTTTCTGTTCAGGTTACTTCACATTTGTCCTCTGATGTTGGTTAAGAAGATTGGATCCTAAAACCCCCTGCTGGGTTAAGACTCACCCAGCCCTAAATCCTGTCAAAATGTTTCTCCACACGTACACGCCGTGTGCCTCTGCATATGGACATAATCTGTGCACACAGTGCACATTATATGAAGAGATAACAGCGGTGAGAGTGAGTGTCTTATTCATTCTCTAATTGGCATCATTTCTCTCCGTGAATGTGCAGTAAAATAAAAACCGGTCCTCGATTTGCTGTGGTTTTTGTTCATAGAGCATCAGACCACCTCTCTCTCCTGATGATACGGAATCTTCTATTCTCCTCCCGCCAACGTACAGCAGTAACAGCTTACAGAGCATCGGGGTGAGGGATAGAATACAAAGAGAAACAGAGAAGACAGATATTGGATGAGAGATGGAGAGAGAGAGATAGAGAGAAGTGACAAGGTGAGAGAGAGAGTAGCCGACAGAAGAGATGGATGCAGCGGGGTCGTTGGGGTGAGGAGATGGTGTAATGATTAGATCACAGATACCCTTGAGCCTTCCTCACGTCCCTCCTGCGCGCAACAACAACAACAAAAAAATCTGGGAGCGTGCTCGGAGTGGAGGAAGGCCTGCAGTTGTAAATGGCCCCGCTGTCAGAGTTCATCTGGGCGGAGGAGGAGTGTGGGAGTGGATTACCGGAGTCTGCGATTAGAGACAGAGAGAGCCTACTCTGCCTCTCCAGTCTCTCCCAAGACGGGAGAGACTAGATCGCATTCGTGCTGCTGCCTCACTGCAGATTTCCTAAAGATGTTATGAATGTAATGTTTGACTGCTCGGAGACTGCAGACACTTTAGGAAGCAGGAGAAGAGGATAACTATCATCCTTAGGGTTAATACTAGACAAGAAGTTCCTGGAACATCGTCACATTTTGAAAGAAAGTCAGGGAATATGTTAACATCTGGTAGAAAGATCATTTACAAAACAAACCTTTTTTCATGACTGTTCACCTCTTTAGAAAACTTGTGATCTATTTATGGTTTGGTTTTGTCTATAAGGTGTCTCCTCTCGCTCAGAGCTACAAGTCTGAGGCTGATGCTAAATGCTTCTTTGAATATTGTACCCCTCCTAATCAGATGATGTCATCTCCAAACTTAAGTAAGTTGAAGGTGACTGGCTTGGAGAGGAAGAGATGTGTTTAGGATGCTTCCATCTAGTGGTCACTTAATGACACTGTTGATCATTTGGAAACGGGGACGTCACAATGCAGAAATACATTAATATGACTCTTTTTGACATATTTCTTCCGTCCAGTATTATTAAAGAATATGACTGAGAACAAAAACATCTATTGTCATACATATCATAATGGCTTGGAGTGGCAGGTCTGTCAGGGGTGTTATTAAGGATGTGCAAACGTAATGGCTCCATTAAGTGCATACCAAAGCATATCTTTACACTAAATTCATACTCAGATTCCCAATGGCATGGACACAATGAAGACATGACAGGGGGGGATGAAAGCTTTGAATGGAAGGGACGGCCCGAGGGCTGTTACCAGAGGCAGGATCCACAATTTAGCCACATAGTTATACTTCTCTGTTAGCTCTGAAAGTTCTGGCTTCATTCAACGTCTGATACATCTTTTCACTTAAGTTGTCAACGAGAGAATGCTGCCCCTTAGAAAACGAGCCCAATGTGTGTTTTAGTGATAGATATTGCATTTTATGTACACTGCATTATTAGTTTCCCTGCGCAGAAAAAGAGACGGATGCTTTTTAAAATGCCGTGCTTAGGCGTATGTGAAAGTATCTGAGGAGTGAGGGGGAACATGAGAAACACAGCCAAAGAACAGCTTTGACCAAAGGGAGACATTAAAGACTAGGTTGAAGAGTTTGCCTGCCTTCTGCTCGTGTGAGCAGAAATCACAAAACACGAGTTAAATAAAAAAAAATGAATATGTACATATTTCAAACATGTAAGTAGTTTGTAATTTGTTTCTGTCTCTCTTTATGAAAGACATAATCTACGTCCTGGCTGAGATTAAAACATCGCTGCACAAAGCCAAATCCTGGGGATTTTCTGGTCTCACCTCCAGACACTATTTGATTCTGCACACACCACCTCCTTACTCTGTCTGTGACTATGGCGTGTGTCAAATGTGGGAAAATCCTCTTTCACTGTGGATTAAGCAGACAGTGTGCATAATGTATATGGGGGGGAGACACACAGGAAAGGAGAGGGGGTGAGAGGGAGGACAGTTAGCAGGAAGATATAAGCAGTGGAAAAAGTGTGTTAATGCATAAATACATTTTTTTAATTAAATGTTTTCTTGCCAAAATAAATCCCCAAAATTGCAAGTTCTACTGCACAAATTGTACTGTCGCGTGTGAAAAAACAGCTAAAATATCAGTTATAGTAAAAGACCCATAGCAGAACTTTTCTTTCTTTTCTTTTCTTTTTGTGTTAAGGGGACAGGTGGCTTCTAGGTAGTGTGGCTTGTTCCCCGACAAGCCGCTAATGCCTCCGATGAGATAAACCCTCGGCGAATGGGCTCCTGTCGACAGAGCTGCCACCGATAAGAGCAGAGGATCGCTAACGGCCAAGACAACTAAAAACATGAGAGGCTGGGCTGGAGATAAAGAATGTAGGAGGTGGGAGGAAAACAGGAACAACAGCGATCAATTGCTGGCACTGTGCAGCGATGCTATCCGACGCCATGCCTCTCCTCCATCTCCTGTAAGAGCGCGTGTGAGGCGATCATAATCTGAAGGGGAGGAGAGGTGGGTGGTGTGTATGTGTGTGTGTGAATCTGGCTCATCAAGTCATCAATAACCACCTGCATTAGTGGAAGCAACACACAGGCAAGGTCAAAACTAACTGAAATCCCTTCATAGAGAGAAGGGGATGACAGGAAGAAGAAAAAAAAAAATAGTACAGTGTGGGTCTTTTCCGGCTCAGATGACTCTATTCTCACGGGGGGGGATGGATGGACAGGTGAGTGCATGAATGGAGGAGTGGCATTTGAGAATCTACTTTTGACAGACTGGCGACGGCAGACTTGGCAAGCAGAAACAGGTGGGAGTTGGGGGCTGGCTGGTGCAGAGAGAGGAAGGGAGTGAATTATGGATGGAGGGATGAAGTTGGGGAGGGAGGACGGGGGGGGGATGTCTGGCGAGGGCTTGTGCCCCGCTGACAGGCAAGCTGCTACTTGGTAAAGTCACTTAGCCACACAGAGTCAACCAGAAATGATGGGGCATCTTTGCACCGGCAACGTACTGCAGCTCCCTTTTCTCTCCCAAAGGCCTCTGGGATGGTTGTCGGCAACAGGACTCCACGGAGGAGAGTGAAGCGGCCTGCTTTGCTCTGAAAAGTAACACTTGGGCAAGCAGCGGTGCAGAAGCTCACTCTTGTTTGTTACTGTTACGTTCACAGTTTTCTTACTCCACTGCTGCCGCTCTTCCTTTATTTTTATCTTGTCCCCATGTTGGACCTTTCACTCCTCGCCCTCCTCTACGTATGTGGATGGGAACCAGCCGACCTGGGGGGGGGGGGGAATGGGAATTAGTGATCACATAGTAGTGATTTATGGTGTACTCACTTAGCATTTTCTATTTCAGATAGTGATTCCATACAGGAACATTTATTGCTACTGTTTTCAATTGTTGGCAAAATCAATAAGAGAAGTAAGCCATGCATTCTCATTTTTGGGAACACATCACTGATTAATATTTTAAACTCAATATTAACATCAATTACAGTTTTTTGGCAAATGTTTTTTTTAATGTCTTAGCATCCCCCACATGGTCCCAAAGCATGGTACCTGAGCTGAACTTTTTTTTTATTTAATAAGACACATTTAGTCTGATTAAATGTTCATTAAATGTAATAAATAATTCCAGTTAATGACACAGATCGTTCCATGCTGGCGGTCATTTTGTACGATTGGAATAAGCCAAATTATTATACACATACTAGGATCACTGATATATTGTGCCAGTATCTTCTTTTGTTTTGACCATTTTCATGATAATAAGAGCCTGCTATTACATCAAACGGATACTGAAAGGTTGTAGTGATATAATCCTGAAGTGCTTTTCAATTGACAGAATCAGCCGTTTTTTTTCAAGCCAGCAGTAGCAATTGCCTTTCCCGGTTGAAGGCTCTAAAGAGAGTCTAACAGCTCTCGACAGACTCTAGGAGATACAGAGTTTAGTTTTCACCAGAGCGGCATCAAGCGCACATCAGGCTTAGTTAAAAGAGAAAAGCTTCTTCATTTACAACAGCTGTTTACAAAACACACTCACGGCACAGACACATTACTGAGGGATGCAGCGCGCACACACACACACACACACACACACACACACACACACACACACACACAGACTGAATTTGTCACTCAGTCTATCACTCTCCGCCAAGCTAAAATGCAGTGCAAGCGAGTGGGAGTCAGTACATATACATTCCTGCATTTAGAAGCAGGCTTCTGTCGATGCTGCATGCTTGATTATAAAGTGCTTTTGCTTTTGGAAGGGAAAAAGTGCGCATGAACACTTCCAAGGAATGGAAAACGAGACATGTTGGGAAGGTGTCCATGACAGACTAAAGATAAAACGACTACATATACCTGGAAGAGACTATTCACATTTAGACAAGACTATCTGCCAAAAATTACTTCTTCAAAGAGGCAGTTTTTAGCGCTAGCTAAAATTGGATTTAAGGATTGAATGGACAGAATGAATAAACAAAACTATCTAAGTGAACACAGCTAATGGGACTTCTGAAACGTTCTGCCTTGATGAAATATCACTTAAGCTAGACATGCAAGCAGTGTAAAGCTACATATATCAAATGAAAACCAATTGAAAAAGGGCACGACAACATTTCACCCTACAAACAAGGGGAATTTTCTAGGCTTTTTAGCTGAAGTCGATAACCTAAAAGCCAATATCAGCACTCAGAAAAGATTATTTCCCCCCTGGATTTGGTGATGGGAGGCAGTGTTTTATTGGCATCTTAAGACGGCCACTTACCCTGCTATTGACCTCGCCCCTCCACCAGCCGTTGGCTCCCGACTTTGTGTAGATCTTCACCACGTCACCCTCCTGCAGCGAGAGCTCCCGAGTGTCTCGTGAGCTGAAGTCGTACCGCGCGATCGCCACACCGATCACTTTTGGAGTAAACACTAGAAAGAGAGAGAAACAGAGGCGGGTATTCAAAAAAAATGTAGGATTTTAAGTTCATTCAAGGTTCTAGAAGATTGTTTGAAAGAAATTTAAAAACATCAGTTGCAGTGACAACACGTGACACACGGATGATATGGATGATAACTTTTCATTCAACAAGAAAAACCTCACCATCTTTCTATTCCCCTTCTCTTTTTTTTATGAATTGAAACAAACATCTGTCAATTTGTACTGTACTAAATATTTTTTTACATTATATATATCTAAATAAGTTTCTAATGGCGACTACTGTAGTGGATCTAGATTAATGTAACATCTAATTCGGCATTTCTTTCAACTATTTTTCCAAATACTGAGTTATAGAAGCTGGTGGAACACAGGTGGAACGGGGGCTAGCCTGAGCATGTTGTCATGACTTTGGCTCTCTGTTTTGTCTCCTTCCTGACATTCTTATTTTTGGCAGTACAGCTTGTGATGCTACAGTGACTTCCTGTTTACCTAACATAAATTGATTGCCTTTAATTGTACGGCTCTACAAATGTCTCATAAAAACCAATGTACAAGTTAACGAGGTTCTAGTTAAGCCATATCCAAGGTTAAGTGGTGCAACCTCATTTAAATGTAATTTTAAGTTAGAAATGATGTGCAAAGGAATTCATTTGCTGTTTATTTTCTTGGAATTTTGCAGGTAATCTCACAAACAACATACATAAGATATACGTCTGTACTCCCTGTGCAAGTGATTCATCATACATTGCCTAACTAAAAGAGAAGTGAGGCCCTACAAGTTCTTGTAGTTGTGTGGTGCACTGCTTTAGTCGGGTCCAGTGTGCTGACAGCCGTGTGTGTGTGTGTGTGTGTGTGTGAGACTAGACATGCTGCAGAGGAGACAGCAGCATGAGAGACAGCTGTGGAGACGGTTAGCTAGTTACCTCTGCTCCATCCCACCCTGCCGGCTTTCTACCTTCTCCAGACACTGACTGCTGGGTCGGACTGGGCTAAGCTGACAGGTGGAAATGGAATGTCAGACCTCTACAACCTGGCCGTGGGGAGAGAATATCTAATATAGAGGAGCTCTGTGTATTTGGACACCTCCACCTTTACTTTGACGGACAGACACACACAAGCAAACACACATCAAACTCAGCCACATGTGCCTCTGAAAACACCTCAAACACCACTCCTTTTTTCAGCAGTTTCTGACTCACTCTCTGATATTCACATGCAAAAATGACAACACTCAAAATAACATGCAATACTAAAACAAACAGTCCCTGTTCTCCACACGAGATGGCATATATGTGCACACAACTTATGGAAGAGGTGAAATGGTGCAATGGAAAAGCCGAACGGCAGTTGTGAAGGCTGAGATTCAGACGATGATGTGAATGGACTGAGCTACAGCCAGCATGCTAAGCAGCCTTCAACATGAAAGGAGAGAGAGAGAGAGATACAGTGTTAGAGAGGCAGACAGAGAGAGAAGAGATACCTGTACCTGACCAGAAGGGTGCAGAGGAAGGAGGTACAAAGCTGTAGCCGGCAGGAGTTACAAAAGAGAGGCCGCAGAGCAATGGGGCTATGGCAGGGCAGGCCAGGCAGGGGGCAGATAGAGAGGGCAGGTATGGGGGGAGGGGGGTAGATGTAGAAGGAGAGAGAAGCAAAGGAGAAAAAAACATGTTTTTCAAAATCCCAACTCTGAGGGATAAAGAACACAGCTGCATTTTGATAAAAAATAAATGACGACAGGCACAGGATGAGCTCCAGCGAGCAGTTCTTTATCTACACAGCCACTGGTAGCAGTTCTTTCTCTTATGATTTATACCCCTACAAATATTAACACTGGTTGGCCTTATGTGGGCACTGTAATTAGTAATCTAAAAGTTTAATTCAAATATGAACAATCAAACTCAACGTTTCAACGCTTCTGTTTAACAAAGAATAAAAACAGAATTTCCATTATTGAAATGCTCGTACTTCTAAAAATGAAACCTCAAATCTACAAACCTGGCTGTTATAAATTGAAGGCATGAAGTGGTACTCAAAAACAAAAACATTTTAAGCATTTTTGTGATATCTCACAAATGTCAATTTTTTTAGAAAATGCACATTTTGCGTTCTGGTGTTGGAATAAATTAAAGGTCAAACACTGAAGGTCCATCTACACGTCACTGCTGAGATTTTGTTGAAAAAGGAAGTGATGACACCTTGTTTCCAGTTTGCTAAAAGGATGTCTGCATCATTAATTGCCAACGACAGCTTCACTTGTGCATTTCATAGAGAGGAACATGAGGTGTCTCACAATTACAGCATAGGGAATACATTTCTATTAGCATATTTATAAAGACAATTATCCAGCTGTAATGCAGCCACAACTGCAGATACACACAAATTCCTTCTGACAGACAGGAATTAGATGTATAACTTGATAATGTATGAGACAATAACAGTGTTTTATTTCATATTATTTTATTATAGTATACTGTACCTTCTATGGTGTCCTAATTGTTGTTCTATGTCGTCTTTCTGAAGCTTATATGTCCAAAATGCAGATCTCTCTACTTTCAAAGGACTAACTGTGCCTTTGCCTTTCAAACAACAAAGCAATAACCTACCGGAGGCCCACTGCTTTTGTATTTCTATCTCTCATCTGATTCCAACAATGTCTTAGAGTTGGCAGTGTTGGGGCTTTGCTCTGGGGAATAGAAGTATTATAAATTTGAGTCCACTGGGTTATTTTGGAATGTCAACATATAAAGTATGGCGCAAGTAAAGTTAGTGGAAAATGCTCATGCTATAAAGGTATTTATTAGTAGAAACAGACTATGCAGCATATATCTATACAGGTAGTTGGCTAAATTGATGCCAATAATTGATTTTGTTTAGAAAAGTGGGGTGAACAAAACATCCCATTCCTGATGCAGGAATTATTTGTTCTGTCTGGGCAATGGAAAATACAAAATACATTATATAGACAGATGCAGAAGTCAGACGGTGATGGTAGTTGGCTTATTAGCATCATGGATGGACGACTAAATGAGCATACTGGGCACAGACCCGGGGACCCAATGGACCGGGGTCTCTGTATGAAGTGACTGATTGATTTGCCAACAACAAAGGTAACAAACAACAATAAAAAGAGATGCAAAATGACAACAAAACAGCAAAAAACGACCGGACAGACATTTGAAATGACCACAAAGAGACGGAAAATTACTACAAAGACAATCAAACCTGCCAGGAAGAGAAGCAAAACCACTATCAAGAGATAATGTGACTACAAGGAGATGCAACACAAATACAAAGTAAAGCAAAACGACTTCAGAAAGATCGGGGCGGGGGGGTTTCATGTCAGTTGTCTCGTAATCCATGCTGGAGGCTATTTGAAGTTACAAATAGCAGCTGATAATTGAGAATATTTAATATATTTTTATTTGCCATGTATTTATTACACTGAATTAACCGTGTAATTATTAATACAGTTTACTATTTTAAAGAACCTGTGCTTTAAATCTGAGTCACAATACAAATGCCCCCACCCCTTATTTCTGCCACCAAGAATAGAAAATGTAATCCCCACTATGCCAGATGAATGCCCAAACTTTATGAAAAATGTGCCGCTCCCAACAATACCGCTGGCAAGTTAACTTGCCTGGTTTATTGATATGCTGAAAGGAGAGCAGAGCTCCAGTGGTTTTTAAAATGAATACTAATCAGCGCACTGAGAGACAGCTCAGCAACCCCTAATGGTGTCTAGGTACAAGCAATATGAAGAGGGATCGCCCTCCACTTCAAACAGCCACCAAAACACCAGCTGCATTTTACATGCTTCATTTTTGCACAATCTGATTTGTGTAACACACTGGAATACACAATATGGAGTTGGGTGACTAATGGAGGAGACTAAGATCGAGGGTACACACACATACACACGCATTGTAGAAGATGAGCTAAAATCCAATCAGCAGCCCAGAGTCCCACACACGATGTCAGCTGAGATTGTTCCATGGACACAAAGTCATTTATATTTTGGGTTAACTCTGGTATTGTTGCTGTTGTATTTAGCTCATTGGTTTTAAAAAAACTATCAATCAATCAGTTTTTCCTTCTGCGAAACTGCCCAAAAGCACATGAAACAAAGCATGAACATTAATTAGCAGTCTTCCAGCAGTGCTCGAGGAGGATGGAAATCAAAACAAAAGAGTCATTTAGAAGTGAAAGAGAGAAAATGAAGTCTGCACACCAGGAGGAGAGCCGCTCACAAGATAGAAGACCACACCGGAGCAAAACTAATTTGGATTGAAGCTGTCTTGACTTGTGTTTTGAAGCAAGAGTTTGAACAACAGGCCTCGTCTGGAACAACCAAACAGCTCTGTACAATCTGTTCACATTTCTCCCGCTTGGAATGTGATTGTCAGTTTTTGTTGTTGTTCTTTTCCCCATTGCACGCAGTGGCATACGGGTTCAAATTAAATCTCATTTTGCCACTGATAAGTCATACATTTTCCATTAACCAACAGTTAACAGTGTTGCTTTGGCAGGCTCACAAACGGTTTAATACCTTTTTTTCTGGCTTTGCTTGAAACATTCAGCTTGTGTGGGGTGATCATGGCTGTTTTACAGGGCAAACAGCCCTTTCTACTTCAGTGTTTACGCCTCTCTTGATGGTTTTTTAAACGTATTCCCAGCTGACGTTAACAGACAAGCCAATACAACCAAGGATTACAAATAATTTAACATTTCTTTTCCCCAAAAAAACCCTCTAAGGTCTTTAAAACGTTTTTTTTAAACACTTTTCATCACCAAAATCTATTCTTTTTGTCAGAGAAATGTCTTATATTCTCTACAGAATTGGCACTTTGACAATGCTCTGCTGTTTCACCTGTTGCTTCACTTCAAACCCCAACATCATCTCTAAAATTCAAGTTCAAAGTTACAAACTGTACATCTGTCACAAGTAAGAAAGGGAAACCGCCTCACTGGATGTCTCGTTCTCTAATATCCGGCCTGATAAACAATATGTCTTACACTTGAATGCTGAGAGAAATCAGGTTATTAAGGGTAATGAAAAAAGCAGCGGCATGCATAAATAATCATCAGCACAGTTGTGCTCCTCAGATAGTGTTGGTGACGGCAGCTGTTTTATCGAGGTGCTGCCAGCTTTGTTCAAAACATAGCAAACAGCTCCTTCTTACTCAGGTAGGAAATATCACACAGCTAAGATCTTCACCCCAACAACTGCCAGACAGCACACAACAACATTGACAAGAACAAAAAGTTCCACACAACTTCTTGAGGCGCGGTTGCTAACACATTCTGGGCTGTCTGAAGTGTAAAATGATTGCAGCAGTTGACAGCTGAATTATAGCAAGAATCTGCTGGTGAGCTTCCTGTTCATTATCACAAATTACACTTGTGTAATAAATGTATTGTTGATTCAATAATACTTCATTTTGAAATCAATCTGTGACTGTCACTTAGTTCAGGCTATGCCATATGTTCAAGTAATGGTGTATTATTAACTAATAAATGAATGTTCTTATTTAGCAAGTTTCAAACTTTAAATCATTTTGTATTTTGAAATGTTTGAAACATTATTTAGATTACCAATAAAACGTATAAACTAAACCATTGATTGACGAAATGCAACATCTCTGATGTTAAAATTATTATTTAAATAAAAACTGAATGACCAGATATCTAAAAAAAGAAACTGTATATGCTTAAGAGTCTCTCTAAAAACAGCTACTTTTACTTTTGCATTAAAACATTTAAAAGCTGTTGTAGTATTATTTATATTTATATGTATATATATACTGTATATGATATGTCTATAATATGGTACATCAAGTGTATTTATGACTCTGGTGACAATAACACATGAAATTAAAAGTGAAAAGAAATATTTTAAAAGTAACTACAATGGAAGTTATTATTATTTGTCTTTCCTGTAACACCCACTAGGTAGATATGACTATAACTCAGATAATACATGTAATTGACTTTCACTTGTTGAAGGTTCTACCAGATTATCGCTCTCTCCTCTGCAACTCAAATCGATTTGATCGTCAGTAAACGTCCAGAGAGTGTTATCAAATCTAAAACATGCTCAGTGGATTCTCCAACCACCATTTGACAGTTTGGTGAAAACAAATTAGCTACCTCGCTCTTTTAAGTCTGTAAAGATGCTGCCAAATGAATTAAAGCGTGTGTTAGAGAGCTGGAAAGGATGCTGGGTAAGGACACAGAAAAGGAGTAGTGGTGGGAGAAATCAGCAGAGCCAGTGACGGCAGCCTGTTGCAGGTTGAAACAAAAACTATCAACAATAATCAGCAGAGTGAAAGTGTCAGATCACACAGACAAACTAATATTTAGCAAACTAAATATCTTTGGGTTTTGGACTAGTGGTCCAGAATTTAAAGATGAAATCTGGGAAATGAATCAACAGATTACTCAATGAAGAAAATAATCATTATTTGCAGCCATGGCTAAATAAAGACACAGGAAACTTAAAGGTACCCTCTACATGAAAGTATTATGTTTCCAATAACACTTCAGTGTGCATGAGATACAAACAGTAGATGAACCCACTCATCAAAACGTCATAGTCAAAGACTCCACAGGGTGCCTTTAATGAATCCAAGCCAACAACTGTCCAGATTGTAATTCAGTTCCTGTCCCACTAAAACAACCTTTTAGCCGAAAAATCTAGTTTGAAGTGCTATGTATCATCAGCTCATATTATACAAATACAGATTTATCGATTAAACGGGTTATTAAACTCTAGCTGTAGTTATACTTGTATTTAAAGGAATACATTATCAGTTGCTGCAATTACTGCATATAAAGTGTTTTAGTGTTGGACTGTTCCTATTCTTAGGGCCTATTCAGATCTACTTACTGTTGCTACCAGACCGGTTGAGGCGGTGCATAGCAGCGTTCTCCGGTTCCTGGTAAGGAAACTTCAGTGTGGTGTCCAGACTCCGAAAACCTTCTCTCAAGGAGTGGTGTTTGTAGTACTCAATCAGCTCCTGGAGACACAAACACACACACACACACACACACACACACACACACACACACACACACACACACACACACACACACACTCACACACACATATTAAAATAAGTAAGCTAGATAGGCAGTCATTTGCATTTATGTTTAGTGCATGTGACATTTATTTATTAAGTTTGTAAAACCAGATAAATCACCCATTTCAGCTCTATAATCTATAATTTACATATCAAGAAAGAGTCTGCTTGAAAACTGAATCTTGTTTTTACCTCCTGCTTTTAACCTGCTGTAGATGAGAAATAGTCAGATCAGGGTTTCTGAATCTATAAAAAGCAGTGAAATCATATGCTAACAAAATACTGTTTTACACTCCAACACCTGTTATTAGAAAAATCTGAGAAAATACTGTGCTGGCTTGAAGAAAGCTGGCGAACCTTTCCAATATGCACTGGACTTATCTATAATGCTGAAGCCCTCAGGCCAGTATAAACACGTCTCTAATCATGGCTATTTTTGTGCACACTGCTAAAATAAAATTCAGGTTTTGACACTTCATTAAGCGAACATGATGATTTATTTATGAATTGCAGTGGTGGAATTAGAAAAAAATAAAAGAGGCTGAAAAGACTCACTAATAGGCTCCTGAACTTCTTGTTCTCTGCGATGTGGAAGCAGCCGTCCTTGGTCAGGATCTTTATGTGCTTCACGTCGTTGTTGTACCTGTGGGCCATTGAATAAGTTATGAGTCTAATTTCCGTCTCTGATCACCGCCATCGATCGGTGGCCGGCCCCTGGCCCATGTGGAGAGCACGGCCCTCTCTGTAATGCATAGGGTCCCGAAGGTTTGTGACACATGAATGATGGGTGGTCAGGAGAATGTGTGCATGTGCGTAAGCGCCCCCTCCACCCGCATACTTGTGTTGGCAATAACAGGGTGGCTGATGGGAACTCTGTGGTTGGGCGGGTAAAAGCTTTGGTCAGAGTGTGCAAAAAAGATGTCTGTCATTCACAGTGATGCTGAATCAGAGATTATTCAACTGTTAAAGGGCCAACTGCAGCAATCTGCTTGTTCCCTGTTTCCAAAGTTAGCCATTAGCAGTATCAACTGCTTGAACCTGTTGAAAACATACTCAAATCAATGTGCATCAACCGGACCTGAAGATAATTAGACCCAAACAGAAAGTTCCCTCTTTTCCTCTGAAGGCCCAACCCTGCCCAAAAAAATTGTATACTCGACTCTGGTCCTGGGTCAGGTCTCGGACACGAGGAAGTCTTGATTTCAACTAAAAAACATATCGCTAATGCTAAGAGGGTTTTATGATGTTAAAGGAATAGTTTAATATTGAGAATAATCCTTTTTTTGCCAAGAGAGAAAAACAATACCACTCTCATGTGTGTTTGCTTTATAATAGTTTTAAAGCATTTCTATTGCCTCTCGACAGCTCTCTAGATGAGGACAGCTGAGCAGGGTGGCTCGCAGCTAATGGTGCTAACAGCCTGTAGGGACGGCGTTATCTGTAACCGATGTGCGAGCGCAGAGCGGCGGCCGTGAGCTAATCAGTGGGGCACGCTCACATGCACAAACATGTGCCAAAAGACATGCACGGCCAGGCTTTGTCAACAAAGTTCAGATTACAACACACACACACAGAGGGACAGCGATGTCATTTCCTGCTCAGATGACAATTACTGTGCGATATCTTAACATAGACAATAGTTGTTTGCTGCTGTATTAATGCTCTGAATCCCGTATACAACCTGTAAACATGAAGCTGTTATCTTAGCAAAATGACTGGAAACGGTGCTTTGTCCAAAGCTACAAAATCAGTCTACCCGCATTTTCAAACCTATTAACAATTTATATCATGTTTGTTTGAACTATTTTAAAGTGCATTACTCACAAAGTTGACATATTAGACTTTTACACTAGTTTTTTAACTTTTGGACAGAGCTAAGCTAACTCTTTCCTCTTGTTTCCAGCCTTTGTGCTAAGCTAAACGAACTGTCTCATGGTAGTCAAAAGTGTTATCAATCTCACTCTCTGCAAGTAAGCAATTGGGTTTATTTCCCAAAACATTGAGATATAGTGTAGTATATTTCAAATTGTTTGGTCTTGTTTAGTTCAAGGAAATCTTCAGATTTCTCAATGTTAAAAGTAAACTTGTAATGACATGAAGATATCCACTCCACTGTGTGTGGCCAGAACTCTCCACAGTGAGTCAAAAGGCTGGAGCCTAATTTGTACAGAACGGGGGTCTCTTGGCTATGTGGACACAATCATCAAAAAAATCTTCTGCCAGCTCTACTCTGAGAAACACACATTGAAGGAGAGGGCTGGGGGCATTTCCATTTGTGACTAATTATTTTTAAATGTTGTTCCCACAACGTAGGCGTTTCTTTCTACTCTGCCGCTCTCTTTTATGGGGGGGGGGGGTTAAATAACCTTGAATAGTCTTACAGTTGTTCTCTGCTTTGTTCGGACCACTGCCGTCTGTGTGCACACAAGCAATTAAGACGTCCGCGCAAAATAAACTTGAAGGCACTGACAGCGGGGCCCATTCCAGAGAAAATAAAGAAGGATGCTAAAAACAGTTGCATGAGTTTGAAGGAATGTTTTCCTTGCTCAGAGAGAAGTGTGCTGGCTCCTTGTGGAAGACGCCATTCTTTTCACTGACTGCGCTCACACTGATGCCATTTATCTTATGCAAAGAGATACGTTTCAAACAATGATATGGTCGCTGACACCCCAAGGTTCTGAAATGTGCTTTGTTCATTTGTTATTACCGAGATTAACACGGCTGTGTGTGTAATAACGTTTTTTAAAGGTCAAAGCATAAGGAATACTGCTCCGTGCCTTAACTCCAGAGATCCTGCTCCACGATTAGCATCTGGTTTGGTCAGATTCACACACATCACTGTGGGACACCAGAATCCGAAAGCACATCATCCTGCAAAGGAGCTATAAATGGGTCTGTCAAACTGTGTTGTTCAGCTGGGAGTTACATCTGGTCAATAGTGTGGTTTGGCTGAAGGCGTCTGATGAATCTAGCAGGCAGAGCAGCCGCAGACGGACAGAACAACTGTCATGTTAAAGTGAAACAATCAAATCTCATGATTGTTGATAACCAGACCAGAGACAAGCCCATAATTATTACTCATTAAATAGACACATTTATGTGTTGTTCATTTTTGTTGTCAACACTTTGTCTCATTAAAAAACGGATATTAGATTTAAAGGGCACTCCTATTATGAATGCAGCACTTGTTTATCATTTTCATTCATGATAGTATTTCATTTAAATCAATTAAATCCAAGAAGCTAGTTGTAATCAGAGGGGGTGACACTGATAATTTCTGTATATGAGGCTCTTGAATGACTTGATGGGAGTGTCACACTTACTTTATACTGACGGCGTACTCCGTGTACTCTCGGCTGCGATGGCGGACTAGGTAGGTGCTGTTGACCCTGTTGATGAGCTCTGCCTCTGCCTGGAGCCTCTCCATGGGCCCCGCAAACCTACAACACGACAGCCGAAAAGAAGACAAGTTATTGACTGTTCAATTAGCAGTTCAATTTGCGTACACTTCCAGGTCAGAGCTGCCTTGTGTAAATGCTTTGATATGTGTGTGTATGTGAAATTCAAATACATTTATATTTTGTCATTATCTGGGCCAAAGACTTTTCAGCCTGTAGCTGGTTTGTGTGACCATCTGTATCTGTAAATGTACATCTGTATCGGCTGTGTTTTGCTTTATCCAATAAATATATTTTTGAGCATGAGTAAAGACTTTCACCTTCTTTTAGTAATACATTCAGACTGAGATGGCTGTTGTGTGGACATACCAAGCTTGAGAGGTGTAATCGACGGGCTTTGGGACCTGGAGCAAAGAGCAAAAGTGTGTTGTTGTTATTTTTCATGAAGCTTGAACTCATCCAGGCTCAATACCACGTGCACCACTACAGTGGAGTACTTGGCGCCAGTTCCACAGTACTGTTTTCAAGCTGATGTTTTGCCCTTCAATAAAAAAAATAAAAAAAACTGTACAACGCCAATAAAACAGCATAATGCTCTTCTTATCTTTAAAAAATGTGTTGACATGGTGATAATGGTTTGTTATCTACGGGATGGCTCGTATTCCTGAAGCAGTTGGACAGAGAGTGAATTTTATTTTATCAAATGGAACGAGACAGTCCAGTGGTGCGGAGATTTATAGAAGGGGGAACAAAAACAAGCAATTGAAACACAATGAAGACGATGCAAACCACTATTCCTCCTTCTCAGCTTTCCAGATTAGTTTGTACAATATAAAGTACTGCTTGTTCCTTTATAAGACATGGTTTTCATCTTTGCTTCTTAATGATAAAGTGAATTAGACAGTAAAGCACTTTTATCTCATAAGACAACACAAGCTCCTCGTGCGCAGAACATAAAAACCCGGGGGCTGTTTTTTTCTTCTCATGCCAGGTAAAATAGCTTACCTTCCTTTCACAAATCCCCAAACATTCTCACATCACTGGCCTGCTAGTAAGAACATGTAGCCAAACATGAGCTGCTACAACAGGCTCTAATGTAGCGAAGGACAAGAAGGAAATGCTGCTTACACATGGGCAAGGCTTCACGGCGTCGCTTGGAAAGAAGCCAACCTCTTTCGACGTCAGGATTTTGCCCTGAAACCACAGAGAGATAATTGTGTTACGTACATCTGGCAGACTCTGTCTCTATTATTCAGAAACAATTAGCCCGCGACACAGAGCAGTATAAATTTACAGCCCTAGTTAACCAGTGCTGAAAATAATGGCTGGCAGGAAGAAGGAAAGAGGAAGAGTTCCTTATTCCTCCCGTGGTGATGACGCTCAGCCTTGATTCATCAGCAATGGGGAAACTCAGTCTGTAAAAACAAAGAGGCTGAAGTGCAGTTAAGGTCTTCTCAGGCACTGTGGGTTGATGATGATTCTTTTGTTCTGTGCATTGACAAGATATTTGATTTAAAAGGGACAATAAACCAGTCATGAATTCCATAGCTAAAAAAAGGAAATTGAGGCTCAAAATTATTCAGATTAGGAGTTTGTGCATATGCAGACGGCCATTCTGAACTGAGCAGGAATATACACAGTGACCTAGCTGCAGCATGCATGCAGTGTCTGTTTATATACTCGGTAAATTTGCTGTTGCTATTTCACCACTGTCACATCTTCACATTACAAGTCCATCATCAATTTTCCTACACAATACATCATTTCTGCCATTTTATATGTCCAATGCGTAAATGAGCATTTTTGTGTATAACTTCTGTCTTGCACAAGTCCAGCTCTGCAAATCCCAAAACTCAAATGTTACCTGCGAATGTTACCTCTGAATACATTCTTGCGTTTCTGTTTAATAATTGGCCCTGTTAATGTATCAAGAGACATCAGTTCGCCTTACTGCCAATTTGTCCCAATTATTACTTTTCTATCATGATTATTTAATACAAGAAGTCTTTCAAAGCCTAGAAGAGCTATTTTAATTCATATTACATTATCCCAATGTAAAGACTATTAGAGTAAAAAGGGCTAATGTTTTGCATGGCCAATTGTAGCCAATTGGACTTAAAAGACATGAGTTTTGTTTTTTTCACACATTTTAAATGTATTATTTTGTTTTGTTTTTTTCACACAATTTAAATGTATTATTTTGTTTTGTACAGTTTTCGGAACTATAACCACAACAGCAGCTGCAGCACCATCAGGCTATACATAAGCTACCTGTTGACTGTCGCACTGTTTTGATTTGATTTGAAAATGTGATTTTGACGATGTCAGGGATCCTAGGGGTTAAAAAGTGTTTTATGACAGGTGATTGAGGGATTGCTTTGTGTGTTTTCAGCCATTATATGGGAGGCACAAGGAGCACACAGCCAGCTAAGCCCATTTCGATGGTTTTGTGGCCGTCACCCATCACATCCCTGCTACCTCAGGACATTTTATCAGACCTTGTGGAAAGCCCTGCTTTCTGCTGCATCCTCGCTAACAGGGTGATAATGAGTATAGCTGCTAACACTGACAGAGTAAACAGATGGTTGCTGTTGAATGAAATGAAATTACAGTGATCGATTCCATTTTTCCACGCATCACCAGAACAGAAATGATTACGGTCTGCTGGCTACAGAGGTGATGGATATTGAATGTTTGCTGACTGCGGGGCTGTAGCTGCCTCCAGTTAAGCTTTTACGCAGGGTTGATTGAAATTTTTTATCTATTTCATCTGTCTTGTATTTAGTACTATGAGATTGGTTGGTTTCCTCATTACATGTCAGATTATCAAAACAATAGTAGTTCATGTCAATATACAATGCCCTTTTCAGGCCTCGGGTAAAATCCCATTATAATTATGATGACTTTGATTCAGCCTCTGAAACACACACACAATATGTGAATGAAACACAACAATTCATCAGAATTTACAGATATTTCCACCTCTGTTGAGGTTTGAATCACGCGTGTTGACACATAACATTGCATTTAACAAACAAACATTTTTCCAGTGTGTTGGAGTTTTACTTCCTTAAAGTGGGTGCTCTGCTGTGTGTATAATTACCTCGGAGTGTATACACCTTTAAAAGGAATTAGATTATCACATGCAGATTGTTGGCAAGAACAATCCAAATAACCTGGGCTGTCTTTAGCCAGAGACACAACTGGAATGCTATTCTGACTCGGCACCTGTATAACATGTCCAACTTGAAGTAAGATGTCTACATGAACATATCTTTAACTGATGAGAAAGTTGATACAAAGGACATTAGTGAAAAATCCATTTAATAATGAGTGGGCCATAAAGACTTTACCAGATCTGATTTATATTAAAAACGCAGAGCTGACCGACATCATTCAAACCCTGTTACAGAATATGAGGTCAGTACGAGGGTTAGATGGTGTGACAGTGGAGGAAATGAGAGATTTAAATACACTAGCTCTATTTTTGTGTTGTGAAAGACTTGATTAAGAGTGGGACCTCTGACCTGCCACCAGGGGCTGTGAAGGTCGGCGCAGATTAATTCGATGATGTCACCCGTCTGGATGCTGAGCGCTGGACCAGATGTAGGGCTCGGCACACCAAAGTAGTTCCTGATTACCAGCATCTTGGGCCGACCTGCAAGAGGGACACGGTTAGCTGCTGTGTACTGTTTGGGCTTAAAACTAATCTGCCTCGTCAGTATTCACTGTGTCTGAAACTACACTATACCAAAAAATATATGTATATTTAATTTATAAATATTCCACTTTTTGTCCTTATTTTCTTGTCTGCTCATATATCATTGAAAGCCTGATTTATAGAACATTTTCTGATTTATGGAAGGATAGAAAGAGACATCCAGAGTCCCGTCTGTCAAAACTTTTGACTCTATATGTTCATAAAATGAAACAAGAATTTTGAACTAAGATAATGCCTCATTTGCATATTTCAACATAAAATTGAACAACTTGAATTGGAAAAAAAGGATTTCCTTAAATGTAAATAATTAACTGGGAAATTTTCACGGTGATATCTATTATTATTATTATTTATTTTTTTACCCTATTCACATGGGGTGTCTTCCCTTTCCTGTTTGTTAATGTCTACTTTATATTTTAAAAGAATCTGTATAATTAAAGGAGGACAAATATAAAATGTTTTAAGACTTCTACGTCTAGATTTCTTCAGTCGTGAATGCGTGGTTGCATCGGATATGTATAGTGAAAAATACACAGTTAATT